TAGCTAGTACAAGTGTTGTACCGGTCGTAGACACGGCTCAAAACCATGCCTAGACCCAGGTAAAAAAACGGTTGTCTGTAAAGTCGGTTTACTGACGATAGTTGAACGTTTTTTTTTTATGTTATAGGGGGCATACGAGCAGACGGACAACGTTTTTTTTACAATGTACATAGTTTTTACAAGTATGAATGTGCTTTGAGCAATTGTTTACAACTTTTAAACATGTTTGGTATCATTACCTTTATCGCCGCAATTATCGTTGCTATAAACAATTGACACCACATTCACTTTTCACTGCACTTCATACTTGACGACAACATGTATTATTGTATAGCAGCTGTCCACGCGGACGCATCGCTCACTCAAGTAGGAGAGAGACAGGTGTCGAACGCTGCCGAACGCGGAGGCCGATTGTGCCTCTTTGTGGCTCGTTTCGCGCTCTCGCTTGCACTTCAAGCCTTAAATGGAACGCCTCAGAGCAAGGTAAAGCCGCATTAGTCATGTTTTTTCGTGCGTGCAACCGGCTCCATGGAAATAAAAGACGTTGTCACGTCAAAACGTCTCGATAACAAGCGTCCTTTAGTCCATTATATAAGTAAAATAGCTTTAATGTGAATTTGCCGTTCCAAGAATATTGGAAGTTTATTGTTATTAATTCCCGGAACTGTCTCAATGTTCCTACCCATTCTGAAACGTTTCCAACATCCTGTAAATTAGTTTTCAGTAAATTTCTGTGTTAAAAGGGGATCTTGATAATGGCGCAGTAGTTGTCGCGTTCGGCCTGCGATCGTGAAGTTAAGCAACCTTCGCAGTGGTCGGTCTTAGGATGGTTGACCAAAAAATTACTATCTCGAACTTCTCCGTGCTCGGAAAGACATGTTAAGCCGTTGGTTCCGGCTACATTTGCGGTACTTGATAAATTAACAACAAACAATTAAACGATTCAGGAACTTGATATTAGTATATGCTTATCATCCTTTATAGATAATAAAAAGGGGAGGTTGTTGTCAAGTAATAATTCAAATCAAATCAAAAGCGGTTATTCAGCATAGTACACGGATACAGACAGCTTATAATAAATACAACTTAATATATACCATACTGGCGTCAAATCCGGCACGACCCTCCAAACGCAAACTTAAACCTGACAGCAGTGCCTCCCTGTCACTACGCATAAAGAATGAAAAGGATTGACCGATGCCAAATTCAGTCCTAAGTTAATAGAATTATACCAGAATCGACACCACTCTCCGTGTCCACGGCTGCGCTGAAAAGGGCCCAGTTCAACATTATGTCAGTGCAGTGTGCACTGGCGCTGGTTTTCAACTGGGTCCTTTATCGGACAAGTGTTTGGAGACAAGCCAAACACTAACGATTTTTTATAAACATATATAATTTAAAAGAAAAATAAAATAAAGGCAAGGCTGTGTGAAACCGTTGCCTTGGCACTAAGACTACGATTTCTACACGGGCCGTTGCCGGACCGGTATCCAAAGCTTGTTCAAGTGCACGGTTTGTATAATAATATAATAATAACAATTTATTGAAACCACTTTACATTTTCATCCATTATAATGTGAACCCTGTCCTCTGGAAAAGGTTACCCTGAGGACCAGAAGACAGTGCTCTCCCCACTATTGTTACTTTAGAGCTACAATAATTTAAAACTACTAAATCAAAATTATATAAAAATAATGTTAAAAAAGTACCTAGGTATAGCATTAACCGATGTGTGAGTGCGTGTGTGTGTGTGTTAGTATGTATGTATGTAATAAATAATGTAATAAATAATGTCAATTATGAAGCCGCTTTGAAGGGCCTTATGAATAAAAATGTTACAGAATTATTATATTGTGATGATCCTGACATAGTCATTAATAGTTTGATATTAAAATTAATGGAGACCGTTAAAGAGAACACTGTTCTTACAAAAATACCAAGAAAATATCGTAATATAAAACCATGGATCACACCGGGGATCTTACGTTGTATTCGGAATAGAAATAAATTGCAAAAGAAAGTAAAAGATGATCCTTTTAATGAAACAAATAAAATTATTTATACAAGATACAGAAATTATTGTAATGCTCTTCTTAAAAAAATCAAACGCCAGTATGAGAGAGAATTATTGAATAAATCTATTAATGATAATAAGTTGCTGTGAAGAAACATCAGAAACATCACATGTACAAGTAAAATTAATAAAATAAACTCTGATTTACTTAATATTAAATCTACGCCTGCAGCTTCTGCCAATTATATTAATGATTTATTTGTAAATATTGGTAAAAACTTGGCGCATCAAATTCGGCCCTCAGATGTGGAAAGTAGTAGCTATTTGAGTAACTTACCAAAACAGTGTTACTCCTTTGTTCTTATGGACACTGATCATGGTGAGGTAAGTGATATAATACAGTCCTTAAAATATAGCAGTGCCCCAGGATGGGACGGTATTCCAACCAGTTTTATCAAATACGCAAGATCATATATTGTTCCAATTATAACTCATTTTGCTAATCTGTGTTTTAAAAAGGGGAATTTCCCGTCGGTACTGAAACGGTCAATAATCAGTCCAGTTTATAAGGCTGGGGATAGAGACAGTGTTAATAATTACAGACCAATCTCTGTGTTACCTGTAATTTCTAAAATTATAGAAAAACTGTTAAATACGAGGCTGCTTAGCTATCTAAATAAATTTGACATCTTATCACCATCTCAGTTTGGCTTCAGGCGAGGGAAATCAACTGAAGATGCAGTTTTGGCACTTACATCGTTTGTTATTGAGCAGCTCGATGCTCATAAAAAATGTATTTCAGTATTTTTGGATTTACAAAAAGCTTTTGACACTGTCTCTATACCCATTCTGGTGAGAAAACTAGAAGCGATCGGACTGAAGGGAGTTTCTCTTGAATTGTTCAAAGATTACTTGTCGGATAGGCGGCAAAAGACAAAGTTAGATTCCTTCACTAGTGATGATGCAGCAGTGACATATGGACTGCCTCAGGGAAGTGTCCTTGGACCTACATTATTCCTTATTTATATCAGTGATCTTTGTGCCATGAACATTAAGGATGCAAAAATTTTGTCGTACGCTGATGACACTGCAATTGTTTCTAGTGCAGACTCTTGGGATGCAGTAAGGGAAACAACCGAGAGCGGCTTGAAACAGATAAGCAAGTGGTTACGTAATAATTTTCTTACACTCAACACTGCTAAAACAAATTATATCTGTTTCAGTCTATATAATGACGGACAACCAAACAATGATTTTTGTTTAAAGATACATGGCTGTAATTTTAGAATAGGTGGAGTTAATTGTAACTGTCCGGTTCTTCAAAAGGTTGAGAATGTTAAATATTTGGGTGTCTATGTGGATCAGAGATTATCTTGGTATCAGCATTTAGAACATGTAACTTTAAGACTCAGAAAGCTTACTTGGATTTTCATAGTACCAGTCCCAAAAAAGGATAAGGGTGATTGTGGTTCAGTAAGAGATCTCCTTAAAGAAATTTATATTTCGTTGGCCCAATCTATATTGACATATTGCATACCTGTATGGGGTGGCGCAGCCAAAACGCGTTTTATTGATGTTGAGCGCGCTCAGCGAAGTCTCATTAAGGTCACGTATTTTAAAAAAAGGCGATTTTCTACTGAGTGCCTCTACAAAATTAGTAATTTATTATCTGTAAGGAAGCTGTACATAGTTCATGTTATTCTAAAAAAACATAAGTCTCTAACGTATGACCCTAAGATTTCAAAAAGGAGAAGGAAAGACATAATTATACGTGCTCCTAGAACCAACACTTTATTTGCTAGCAGTCAGTTCAATAGTCGATCTATACACATATACAACACCATTAATAAATATATTTATGTATATGATAAAATTTATTATCAATGCAAAGAGCTACTGATAAAATGGTTAACAGCTAAAACATATGATGAAATCGAGATACTATTAAGCAGAACCTAGTATTCTTGCACACACTAAGACACATATATACGCACACACACTATACAAACACTCACTCCCACATTTACAGTTATGTAGGCATAAACACCAAACGTCTAAACTAATTAGATCTTGGTCATGGTTTGTTTAGATTTTATTGGATTGTTATAATTATCTATTTTAAGGAAGAGCTGTATCTCCTGACACAGGCTATTTAAGCTTAAAAGGAGATGCAGGTCATTAGTTTAAGATCACATTTTTGTTCAAGCCAATAAAAATTTATTATTATTTATTTATGTATATGTACCTGCGTGCGTGTTGTGTAGCGTATGTGCATTTGTTCTATCGCTTTTATTCTGTCAATGTAATATATATGTTTGTAAGGACCGCAAACTGCCGCTAGAACCGGTGTCGGTAACAAAGCTCCATAGTGTCCCATACCTAACTGACGATCACTGGTAGACACGCTCAAAAACCGTGCCTAGACCCGAGTATTTATTTATTTATTCATTTATTCATCCGCACTGGACCCGCGTCACCCGGTCATGGCCCAATCTCCCTATTCCATCCATATGGAAGGCCTGTGCCCCAGCAGTGGGGACATTAATAGGCTGATGATGATGATGAAGAGTAAAAATCAGTATCAGAGTCAAAAGAGTAAACATCGTCTCGTTAATAAGTGCCTTTACTCGACGACCTCCGTGGCCGAGTGGTTTGTACGCCGGGTTTCATGGCTGTCGCCGACTCGAGAGGTCCCGGGTTCGAATCCCGGTGGGGGCAGATGTTTGTGTGATGAATACGTGCATTTGGACTCCAGTCATGGATGTTTAATATGTATTTATATAAATATACTTATATATGTACAGTATATGTATTCTATCCGTTACCCTAGCATCCCATAACACAAGCCTTATAGTGCTTACTTTGGGGCTAGGCTAATTGGTGTGAGTGTCGGAAATATTTATTATTTATTTATTTACTGTCTATTAGATAAGGAAAGCTGATCTTCATCCAGATAAACATGCATTCACCAAACACCTTTTTGCAGGGTAAAGACCTCCCCGCCAAAGATCTGAGTGGCACCTCCGACCCGTACGTGAGGGTAACACTTCTCCCCGACAAGAAACACCGGCTCGAGACGAAGATCAAGAGGAGAACGCTCAACCCTAGGTGGAACGAGACTTTTTACTTCGAGGGATTCCCCATACAGAAGCTTCAAAGTCGGGTAAGTAGCTTGAAAGCTTGAATTTTGGATATGTTCTAACATATCCTCAGAACAATATGCAATACTTATATATACTTTATACTCATACCTCTACCCAACTGTATTTCTCTTAGGCACTCTGGGCTTGAACTTTCTTACAGCGCGTAGAACATTGGACATTTCGATTGGCAAAATACTTCGGGGTATCATTAATGCTCTAGGTCTACACAATGAACTTGGCCGGTTGACGTACCTGACCGATACACTCGGAACCGCCCTAACCGTCCATGTCGTTACTTCGCACCACCGTTTGACTGCACTGTGACCCGAGCGCAATCTCCTCTTTGCCGCAGTACCTCCGATTCCGTCGACCTAGGCACGTCTTAGAATACCCCGACGACGCAACGCGCCTCCGACTCCTCCCACACAGGCCACAAACACCGACACTACACAGCTAGCTTACTTGCACACTAGCTTAGCATTAGGTAGACACCGCACCCGTAGGATAAGAGTGCGAAGACCCGGTCTAGACACGACACGCTATACCTGGGCGTGTTTTCCCCGCCCCCCAAGACAACGGCTAACTAGAGCCGAAATCCGAGTCTCAGAGACGCCCTCTAGTTGAGCCGACCCCCTCAGGTTCGAGTGGTCTAGAGGCTCCAGACGGAGAGGAGACTCCCCCCGTGGGGAGATGCCAGCCGCCTGGAATACCTCTAGAGGCACTTGCCAATTCTCGGCTTGAGGCCCCCTTAGGATCTTGCCGTCCCCAAACCCGGTGACGCTGTAAAGGCCATCTGCGACCAACAGCATACACACTCAAAAAAGATAAAAACAAAATTCTTTGTCGCATTTATGACTCAACTTAATGAAGAATGAGTGTGAATCCTCATGTTTGTATTTTGTTTTAATAATTTCTGTAAATAGTATTATGCCGTAGTAATTGGAAATTAACAAAAAACAAATTAAAAATAAAATAAGAAGTAAAGCTTAGAAAGAGATTATTCCATAAATACAGTGCAACCTTAATATAGCATACCTCAATATAATGACTGCATTGATTTAAAAAAAATCTTTGTAATCCCCTAGAATTTTTCATTACATGTAAAATATACCTTTATATTGCGAATATTTTTGCGAACAACCTCTTTACAACAAAAAATACTTTTATAACAAATTTTCAGACTATCAAAAAAAAAGGGTAAATACCTCTAAATAATGAATTTTGTCAAATGAAGTTTCAAACAATATATATTATGATTCATGTCACGACAGACAACTATTTGTTTACCTCTTTATAACAAATTTTCGACCAACCTAACCTCAATATAACAAACCTCAGTTCAACAAATTACTTAATTTAACGAATATTTACTTATAATTTTTTTATTATTTTTAAAGCATGTAACTGCTTGATGTTTAAATCTAAAGAATTTTCTTTAGATTTAAACATCAAGCAGTTACATGCTTTAAAAATAATAAAAAAAAATTATAACTATAATTGCTATTTCTTCTTTCAAATGTTTAATACTTGTAAAAGTATTCATTTGACATTGTGGGTTTACCTATAATGCGAAGAGATGGCGCTGCCTTGCAGCTTAAGAATAGCTAGAAGGAATTTCGACGCGGTCCGTGAGGGCCGCGGTAGCATAATTGGTCAGTGCATTCGCCCGGATTGCGAAGGGTGCGGGTTCGAGTCCCGTCTGCTGCCTGGTCCGCGTGGAATTTTTTCTAGTTATATTTTCTTTAGATTTAAACATCAAGCAGTTACATGCTTTAAAAATAATAAAAAAAAAAAAAAAAAAAAAAATTATAACTATAATTGCTATTTCTTCTTTCAAATGTTTAATACTTGTAAAAGTATTCATTTGACATTGTGGGTTTACCTATAATGCGAAGAGATGGCGCTGCCTTGCAGCTTAAGAATAGCTAGAAGGAATTTCGACGCGGTCCGTGAGGGCCGCGGTAGCATAATTGGTCAGTGCATTCGCCCGGATTGCGAAGGGTGCGGGTTCGAGTCCCGTCTGCTGCCTGGTCCGCGTGGAATTTTTTCTAGTTATATTTTCTTTAGAATATTTACTTGTTCCATTCCGATTACTTGGATTGAAGTTGCACTGTATATTGATTGCTATGAACAGCATGCGTACCACTATACAAATGTCAAATTGGATAACTTTGTATGACTTGTGGATACCATGGTTACCATTACGACACCGAATCAAAGAGCGATCTAATGTCAAATGTAACATGCCAACATGCCACTCATACGTTTTATATATTACACACGTGATTACACGTAATGTATTTTTTTATATATTATACGTAAATCTTTTCGTTGATTTATTGGTCTAGTACCCACTGGACCTTCGTAATTGGACTTTACCTACAAAATTGACCTTCCTCCACCTCTCCTACAAACAAAAGCATAGAGCCCCGATCTCATATGTTTTCACATATGAGAAATTATTATTTTTGCTCAAGACTAGATCAATCACTGAGAATCTTTCTATAATACGGGCCTTAGTCTGTAGTAGTTTTCATACATTTTATATGGACTCGCCACACACGGTACGCCGGTGGCCGCCTCACGCTACAAATCGTCGTTGCTCGCTTCTTGTGGCCCGCACTGGCCACTTAATACGCCGATACAAAACGCCGCCACACGTCACTCGCGCGATTCCCCACCCCTCTCTTACTTAGGCCGTATACAGAAAGAAAGCCGAAAGCCGATCGGCGCTTATCCTTTTTCTATGGACCGGCGCCGACACGCGCTGATCCGAATAATAAATAATTTGTATTTGAATTATTATCCTTAGATTAAATCAATCTAAGTTATAATCTTTTTATAAATCTAATAACTTTATCTTTTAACTAAGTGCTAAAATTATTTGTTTCGTACTTACCGAATGGTGACAACAAGTCTTTCTTCTGGAAGGATTGGTTGTTTATGCCAATTGCCCCAATTTTTCATCAAACGGTTTTTCACTAAATCCAAAATGTAATAAAATGTTTCTTGAATCATTCTTGTATATGTATAAAATCTTAGTTCATCAAATTTAAATTTTTTTACAAATAAATGATGGTATTCTCCGAAACGTTTCCTTTCTCTATTTATAGGATGTATAGCTGTTTTTCGCATTTTTAAATAAACATTTTCTAACAAAACCATATCATCGTCCGATGAGTCCGACATTTTGCTTGATCTGCTTTAATCGGCTTCCTTTATGTAGGAAGGATCGGCGCCGATCAGCTTTCGGCTTTCTTTCTGTATACGGCCTTACCTTAGTCGGCCGCTGTCGCGCGCTTCAGTAACTTTAGTAGCCGCGCCGCTTCTAGCTTCTCGTGGCGGCGTTTGTGGCTGTGGCGTGTAGCCCCTGTGCTGCGACACTTAATATTTGCTTTACTTACTATATAGGTATGTAAAACTCATATGTCAACCAGGGAATGTTTGTATTTTTACTGCCATGAGTGTGTGAATAAATTATGTTTATGACTTCCTGTGTTGTATTGTATTTGCACACCTACAAACGGTTGTGCGATGGAATTTTATATTAAATGAAATATATGATAATTTCTTGTACGAAGATAGGATAAATTGCTAAAAAGTACATTTATTTAGTGAAAAAGCTTACTTTTAATAAAATACAGACAACCTTCTTTTGTTTCATCGATAGTTAAATTAGGTTTTCGTTAAATCCTTTAGGAAAAGGATAGCCATTTCTCAAAATTTTACGTGTTTAGATACTATATAATTTTATTAAGCTGCCTATCGATGAAATAACAACGCCTTGTGGAGACATTGAAATACTGATGTCCTAACTTAAAACCTACATACCCGGGCGTTTTGCCTCGCCCCCCACGACAACGGCTAACTAGAGCCAAGGTTCGAGTCTCAGAGACGCCATCCAGTTGAGCCGTCCCCCTCAGGTTCGAGTGGTCTAGAGGCCCCAGACGGAGAGGAGACTCTCCCCGTGGGAAGATGCCATCCGCCTGGAATACCTCTAGAGGCACTCGCCAATTGTCGGCTTGAGGTCCCCTAAGGATTTCGCCGTCCCCAAACCCGGTGACGCTGTAAAGGTCATCTGCGACAGCATATACACTCAAAACAAAAACTTTAGCATGGCGATCCGTTTAGCTATGTCCGTTACTCGAGTTCTTCTACGGATTTTCCCATTTCTGATTCGATTGCGCAGAGAAACACCGAGCATAGTTCTCTCCATCGCTCACTGTGTGACCATTAAGCTATACTTAAGGATTCGCATTTAGCTCGAAATACGAGACTAATGATTGTTTTATCCTTTGCAGGTGTTACATCTCCACGTTTTTGATTACGATCGGTTTTCGAGAGACGACTCCATAGGTGAAGTGTTTCTACCGCTCTGCCAGGTAACAAATACAAATTACTATTTAGTTTTTTTTTGTAATACAAATACAATATAAAAATTACTTAAAAGACGAGGGTTCAATATTTGCCGAGGTGTTGTGTACCTATAGAAATCCAATTTATTGCAGTTCTTGAGTTCTTGCCGAAAAATATCGACAGTAGAAAATCAGAATAGCTGAAACGCCACTTAAGTAATTACGAGCCCCAAACGAGAATCATTTTTTCCCCCAAAAAAAATCATAACTCATTGTAAAAAAGAAGTACCAAAATTTACGTCGTTTCAGCGTTGTGAACTATAGAAATCTTCAAAAATTTAGTTGCTTAAACGCCAAAATAGTACGCAAATCTTCACGAAATATAAATACCTACCTATATCGACAAAGAAAAAAATCTGATTCAAATGGCAGAATATAACTAGTTTTCGACCAAAGTGGCGTATAGCAATTTTGCCTTTCCACTGTCGACAAGGGCGTCGCCCTAGAGATCAAATGTAGCTAGCCGCAAAGCGACCAAAGTGCGATCAATTGACTTCCTTACCCCTTTGCCCCCCTATAGTCATAAGCTGGCGACACCCTTGACTGTCAATATTATCTGTTAATAGGGAATTACTTAAATTTGACGCATTTGGAAAAAACGGTAATTCTAATGAATAAACTACATCAAATACCTACATTAGAGTCTGTGCGGAGAGAATGGGCGTGGCGAAAAACGGAACTAACATTAAGATTTTTATTTGGAAATCAAACCCAGCAATCTGTAAAACGTCAAAGTTTTGTATTGATACGGATTTGTTTGTTGTTGCGATTTCTTGCGGTTTTTGTTTTTAATCATGTCTAAAAGGGGTAAAGCCTTACAAATACCATTCTCTTTCCGCACAGACTCTACCAGTATTTGTCAGTAATTTAAAAGAAAGTGTTTAAAACTACACCGCTTCACTCACGGCTAACTTGTATAGTCTCCAATTAACTAAAGCAATTTGTTTAGCTGAAGCGTTAAACATTTAAATGAACCAATTAAAGTTTAAACATTCAAAGCTGTTTTAACGTTTGAAATTGATGTAAACACTGGTTTACCAAAGGGTCTATGTGAACGCCTGCGTAAAACAACTTAGCAAAAGTTTATAACTACGCCTTGCGTAATTCTGCCACTTTCAGGCACTTTATGCTTCCTGCTTTGTTACTTAGCATTTACTTAAGTACTTCAACTTAATTAATGATACTAAGGATTTAATTCAAAGTCCAATTTTGAATGACAATTGATTAATTATTGTCAAATTACAAAATTAATTTGCTAGGTATCCGAATAGATGTAATCATGAATTTATATGGCTTTAAGCGATACTTGCAGCCCAACCACAGAACACAGAACGAGGTTAGAAGGGCCTTGTGGATAGGGTTACCAGATGAAAAAATCAAAAGTCCGGAGAAAAAGCTTGACTTCCATTGAAAAATCCTGAGATTTTTACAGTTTTAGAATTTTCTCTCAAACATACTTAACAATTTAAAAAAGCTCACGCGTTGCAAATTGCACTCGAAGCGCGCGGGTGGACGGGGTGGCAGCGGTATTGATTTTAAGATATACATATACCTATATAAGATTTTAATTGTACAAATATTATTAAAGTAAGATTATTTTTAGTTTGTTTAACTGTTTATTAAAGAGATCTTTAAATATGTCATGCTTTATTTTATTGAAAATTCAAAAAGTCCTGAGATTTCATGAGATTTGCAAAATCCAGCCGCAATCCTGAGAAGAGTCCAAAAATCCTGAACCTTACTTGTTGGTAATGCAGGCGCGCCACAGTTATGTGTGAGCGAAAACTCAGAACTTGACCAAAACTTAGCACTGATTGCGTCGTTGCTTTCGGATGGGATCGCTGATTGGTTCGATTGTTTAATGTCGCGTCGTTTGATTCGCTATTATCTACTAGGCGAGCCGGCGACATCGGTTCTCGTATAAACGGTGTAAGATCGGTTCTAACCTCTTTCTGTACTCTGTAGGAACTAAACATTCGCTTACAGCTGATTGTCATCTCGTTTCGAGTTTCTAGCATTCTAGCTCTACTCGCTATGTAGTTTCAACAGTTTTATCCCTGCGCTGCAAGCGAGTGTCCATGTACGACGGGCGATTACTAAAAATGCACGCGCACGTCAATACGTATCACAAGTATCGCTGAGCGACTATTATCTTTGATAGCTCTTGTTGCTCAGCGACAAACTCTGGAGCGAAATTTACCCGGCAGCAGCAGTGTGAACGGTCAGCGATGAACTTTTAATACCCTTATGCATATATTTTGTTTAACTGGATTTTATAGGTATTTAGTGTATGGTTCTTCAGCGAGAAAAGCGCCGCCTTAGGGTTGTTACGGAAGTCATAAGCATATTTATATGCTGCCTGCCTCGTCCACAACCTCTTTTCTTTCTAACCTCTTTCTGTGTTCTGTACTTATGACAATTCTTTTGATAAAAATTTCGTTACGATACCTTTTTTATAGTACTTATAACAAATTACGTTTACCTAATTTCCAATGCATTACATTTATAACTAGCGGCCCGCCCTCGCTTCGCTTCGGTGTAGAGCTGAAGTGTAGACTACAGTTTTTGTTCTCAGGCTTGTATTATACACAATGACATTAATCTATGATTCTTCTTATACCTGTATGGTATGCAAAGTCTCAGCCCGATCGGTTTAAAATTGACAAAGTTTCATACAAACTTTCATTCCCTATTTTATCCCCTTGGGGGTAGAATTGATCAAAATCCTTTCTTATCAGATGCCTACGTCATAACATCTACCTGCATGCTAAATTTCAGCCCGATCCGTCCAGTGGTTTGGGCTGTGCGTTGATAGATCACTATGTCAGTCTGTCACCTTTAAATTTTATATATATAGACGAGATTTTTTAGAAGTAATAAAATTCCATCCACTGTGTCTAGTTTTGCCAGATCTAGAAGTTGGGGAATTGAAATTTTTCATTCACAAATTCTGTGACACAGCTGTATTCATTTTTAATATTGAACCGGTACGAATGACCAGAAAAACGAGCTTTTTGTAACCTATTTCTGTCTTTATCCTTCCAGGTGGATCTGAGCGAGAAGCCGTCGTTCTGGAAGGCTCTGAAACCACCAGCGAAGGACAAATGCGGGGAGCTGCTGACGTCACTATGCTACCACCCGAGCAACAGTGTTCTCACCCTGACGCTGCTGAAGGCGAGGAACCTGAAGGCCAAAGACATCAATGGGAAATCAGGTATACAAGTCTCCGTGAGAAATGCAGAGATATCGCCTTTTTGCGTGCAAACCTCTTTTTCGTTGCTGAAAGTTGTTTTAGGGAAGTAGGCCATTTATAAGCTGATCCAGGTTCGAAGATTGAACACAACGAATTGAAGATAAGTATTGTTTATCCAGAAAAAATTATAGGCGATTCGCATACTGCACCACGTCACGCAGCATAGCGCAGGAATGCGTGATCCTATGCTTCTCCCAAAGGGCGGATTTATGTACGTGTGTATATATATATATATATAACAACAGCCTCCCACTGCTGGGAACATTAATAGGCTGATGATGATGAAGGGCTATATTTGTTGCGAAAGCGTATCTCAGAATGAGGCTTACAAAGTTGTCAAACTTTGCAAAGAAGTGAAAATTTCGGCGCCGAACTCATTATAATATTTATTAAAATTTAATCAGTTTCAAGATGAAATTTTCGTTAAAGTATGCATAACTTCTATGGACAATGAACGAAAATTTCTTGTTATCATCATACATTATGAATAATATTATATATAATAACTGAATTCTTGACCAAGAAATGATATTTATAAGGTAGTTTTCGAGTGCGAAATATCATTGTCTTTTGTATAAAAACTTGAAAATCAGCGCCATGACGGACGTAACGAGAACTAAAATTCAGTACACATTTGACAATGACCATTCTCGCCTACCGAACATTGGCTGGTTTAGATATCAATTAAAACTATGACTATTTCTTACAAAAAAGACCAAATTCGAATTCCCCGCCATGCCATGTAAAAATTACAGACAAAATTAAAATATTCTGACTCACTGAAACAGGGAAACGATAACGCGCCGCGCCGGCTCACTAAGCAGTACCCCTAGCACGAACCAATATCGAATTCGTAACGTTTGCGAGTACGAAATGTCATTTTCAAACGTGTACTGATTTCTAGTTCTCGTTACGTACTTTGTAACGCTGCTGTTCATGTTTTCATACAAAATTTGATAATGACATTTCGGACTCGCAAACTATTCGAATTCGATAATGGTTCGTGCTAAGGGTCCTGTTTCTCCCACTAGCAACGCGAGCCGCGCGCGTTATTAAAAATTCATATAAAACGCGCGCGTAATTAAAGACACTCAATGACAGAAATATACATATTATAACCCGCGGAAAGCCCCGTGGCAGAATAAATAAATTAAAAAGTAAATATTTCCAACACTCACACCAATTGGCCTAGCCCCAAAGTAAGCACTGTAGGCTTGTGTTATGGGATACTAGGGTAACGGACAGAATGAATCTACTGATACATATATAAGTATATTTAAATGGAAACTAGCTGTCCCAGCGAACTTCGTACCGCCATAAAAAAAAATAGGGGTTGGTGGTAGAGGGGTGAAAATGTAGGGTTGTATGTATGTTTGTACGATGTATCATAAAATAATAAAAAAAAAAAACTAAAATTGAAAAAAAAAAATTTTGGTGTGGATTACCCTTAACATTTAAGGGGATGAAAAATATATGTTGTCCGATTCTCAGACCTACCCAATATGCACACAAAATTTCATGAGAATCGGGAAAGCCGTTTCGGAGGAGTTTAACCACAAACACCGACACACGCGAATTTTATATGTCGAATGGGCGAGCGGGATATAGGCGGTTGGCCACGTGGTTTTTCTTGATCCGCCATCTTGGTTATTCAATGATATTTCCCGAAAATAAAACTGTAGTCTAGTGACCAAGCTAACGTTTAATTTGAATCTTCTTATTACTTTACAAAATCAGTTATGATTGCCAAGGTACAAACGGATTGCTTTGTGAAGCGCGGAGAGTTCTGTGCTAACGTCCGTTCACTATCGCGGCTCACGTCTGAATACCGAATGCCGAATGCCCTTTCCAATGACGCATAGCCCCATAAATACTACCCTTAGCATAGACCATTCCCAAGTGATGACAGCTGTCACTGTCATTGCTTGACGTTTCACAAGGCAATGGTACTCTTGACTGATGACATTTGTTGTCGGTTTAACGTTTCGAAGGAGCGAGTGAGACGCCATCCGCCGACATATATATTAGAAACGTATTATACATACATCCATGACCGAAGAACAAATGCTCATATTTATTGCTTTTTCATGTAGTTTTATAGAGATGTTACAAAGCGTTCATTTAGATCCTTGCACGAACCCGGTATCATACAAATATATGCCACTAGCGGCAGCCCGTGACTTCGTACGCGTGGAGTTAGTTATTTGCACATACTTTTTGACCCCAAAAGGAAGTATATTTCTAAACATGCTTTATTAGTACACCTCTACACCATCTATAGAGCATACATGTTAAATTTCAAGTCTCTTACTTTAAAAACATAGGACTTTCATACAAACTTCCAACCCCCGTTTAACCCCTTTAGGGGTAGAGTTTCGTGATAATATGTAGCCTATATGTTGACCCGACTTCTTAATAATATTCGTGCCAGATTTGAAGTAAATCCATGCAGTACTTTTTGAGTTTATCCCGGACATACATACAGACAAAAATTCTAAAAACTATATTTTTGGCTTCGGTATCGATTGTCGATCACACCCCAAGTACTCTTCTAAGAAATGTTCAATGCACAGTTTTGACTTGCCTACTATTTTATTGTATTTTATACTATGCTTCACTTCTTGTTCAGAGGGTATATTTGATCATTACTTATGTAGTGATCTTTCATAATTATCTCACGGTTTCTTTTTTCAATTCTGCTTACGACATTTTGCCATGACCTTATTCATAAAATCAATAATTTCTTATTTATTAGTAAATAAGATTCTATCACTAACATTGCAACAAAGCTTTCGCAAAAGCTTGAATTTTATTCTTACCGTAGAGGCAATTTGAAAATATAGAAGGCATACTTTTTAACTAAACGTCATCCATTAATAATGTCTAGCCATTAATTTGAAACAACGACTCGTATTTCAGACTTTATTGTCCAATTAATAAGATTTAAAACTGAGCAACGCTACGCTACTGTTCAACGAAAAATTTATCAAACAAAATGACCACGATTTTTGTCCTCTTTAGTCCATTCGTTATTGACCATTAAATCTTGGATATTTCTAGTAATACCTATTTATTACGAATCGAGGAGCTGGCGAACAAAACGGTATAAGTACATAAAATTAAATTTCACAGGAGTTGTATAAAACTGAATAACTTACTTACCTCCAGTGACTTACCTCCTTTTGGCATGGTTCTTAATTTATAAATTTAGTAATTTTAACACTGTTTTAGGCGATTTTGATTGAAAATTATTTGAGACTAGTGGCCCGCCCTCGCTTCGCTTCGGTGTAAAGCTGTAGTGTAGGTAGACTATAGTTTTTGTTCTCAGGCTTGTATTATACACAACGAATTTCTTTATATTATAATTATTTTTCTCACCTTTTAAACCTTCCCTAGAACTCCACGAACATTTCAAGACCAGGATAAGATAAATCCGTTCAGCCGTTCTCAAGTTTTAGCGAGACTAACGAACAGCAATTGATTTATACATATACACCGTGTTCCTGAGATTATACACTAACTTTGGCATGTTATTCAGACTATTAAATTGATCATTTTTTACTATGAACACTTTTATAAATTCTAATTGCTTTAACATTTTTTATTTTCATACAAACTAAATGCTTAGATGTAATTTATCTTATATGAATTACTCTTTACCTGAGCTGGCAACGTCGCATTTGAAACTTTGGTTCACATGTCGACATAAACTTTTTGAAACTTTTCTTGACGTCAACAATGTTTTTTTTTTAATTTTGACTTTTGAAACTATGACTTAATGACCATTGACAAAGAGTTGATAGTTTGATAGTTTTGGTTGCATAAAGTGGCAACATCTAGAACAGATAAAGACTATTTCTCACTGCACAACACAATTAAGTTGGTTAAGCTTAAATTACCAATTACCTAAAAACTATACTATTTAAACTACTACTTTCTTTGTACGATATGTTTAACAAGAGTTATAGAAGTATTAGTCAAAGTTAATGTATATCCTCAGGAACACGGTGTATATATACACATATATACTAGCTGAGCCATCGAACTTCGAACCGCCATAAAAATAAGAACAGGTGGTAGAAGAAAAAATTTAGGGTTGTATGTATTTTTTAATACCACATTATAAGAAAATAAATATTGTCCAAAAAAACATTTAGGGGTGTGTAACGAAGCGTTCTATCAAATTCCTGTGATAACATTCCTCCTAACCCATATGAGAACACTACGTTACAATACCCAATAGTTTGAATTTAATTTGGCGCGAAGGCGCATTGTAGATTTCAGAACACTACGTTACAGGTGAACAGCCATTATCACTTATGGATATGAAAAATAGATAGTAGCCGATTCTCAGACCCACGGAATACGCATATAAAAATTTCATAAAAATCGCCAGGCTGTTTCGGAGGAGTATGGTAACTAACATCGTGACACGAGAATTTTATTTATAAGATATATATATATATGTCTATAGATAGATTCAAATTCAAAGGGCCCGAAACCTCCGGACTGTAAAAATGGTATTTTGACCAGATGCGTAATTATACCGTTTTGTTCGCCAGCTCCTCAATTATGAGACATGATTTTTACTGAAGTTTGAACCTCGAAAAAGGAAAGGTCAATACAGAGAGACTGTAGCTAAAATCATAATATTTAGGTAATTATTTACCCTCTTATTAATAAACAAGAAGAAATATTGGACTAAGAGCAGTAAAAATTGTACTAAGTACTAAGAGCAGTAAAAATTGTGGCTGCCTGAAGAGTAAATAAACACTGCGCGGAAGAGTTCGAAAAAGCGAAGCGAAAGCGAAAGCGAAAGCGAGTGTGATTTTTTTCCAACGTTGTATCATCCATTTGGATTATATAATGGTTGTTTGAGGACATTAGATGTTTTAATTTTGGCTATAAGCTAACTATTTAAGATTTTTTTATAGCGGTTTTAAAGTATGGGTGTAGTTAAATATACTAGTTTTCTGTACACCTTCTCCATGTTTGACGACCTCCGTGGCCGAGTGGTTTGTACGCCGGGTTTCAGGTGTTGCCGACTCGAGATCCTGGGTTCGAATCCCGGTGGGCGCAGATGTTTGAGTGATGAATACGAGCATTTGTACTCCAGTCTTGGATATTAATATGTATTTCTATATAAATATACTCATATATATGTAGCAGCTCATAACACAAGCCTTACAGTGCTTACTTTGGGGCTAGGCTAATTGGTGTAAGTGTTGGAAATATTTATTTATTTATGTAAACTTCAATTATGCAAAACCTTCTGACTTCTTGGAAAAGCAATTTGTGTAAACAGGGTAAATTTTCCTTCAAGTAACTACTTATGCCAAATCGATGAGTTATTTTTCGCTCTAATGAAAAAAGGAGGGATAAATGACCATAATATTTATTCATTTTATACCATACTCAATTTACGATTTAGCTTAAAATGATATGGGTGTCGATTCTGGCATGATTCTCTAAACTTAAAACTAAATTTAACATCAGTCTCTCCTTTTTATTCTGTATAGAGAATGACAGGGATACACTGTTGTCAAATTTAAGTTAAGGTTTAGAGAACCATGCCAGAATCGGCACCATTGAAATTATAAAATACGCGAAATGAAAGCATGGAATAGCATGCAACGAGAGATGTAATTTGTCATCTCCGTTTTATCTTTCCTAGTTCATAAATCAAAACGGGTACTCTAGAAATGGCTAATTTACTAGAGAATCTGGTTTCTGGAACGTTTCTTGATAAGTAGTTTGAACAAATTGGGGGTCCAATGAAAACGTCTTAATAATTTTGTTGTGTTAAGTACAAAAAAAATATATCCGACTTCAAAGAATATGATGACTCTTGTTCGTCTCTATGTACTACACGTATTGTGTATCATGGTGAACATTATTTTATTTTATCTTATATATAAAATTCTCGTGTCACACAATGTTCGTTACCGTACTCCTCCGAAACGGCCTGACCGATTTTTATGAAATTTTATATGCATATTCCGTTGGTCTGAGAATCGGCTTCTATCTATTTTTCAGATCCTTAAGTGATAATGGTTGTCCACCTGTAACGTAGTGTTCTGAAATCTACAATGCGCCTTCGCGCCAAAATTCAAACTATTGGTAACGTAGTGTTCTCATATGGGTTAGGAGGAATGTTATCCCAGGAAATTGATAGAACTCTACGTTACACACCTCTAAAATTTTTTTTGGCAATTTTTTTTATTTTTATAATGTGGTATTAAAAAGTGCATACAACCCAAAATTTTTTCTTCTACCACCTGCCCCTATTTTTACCGCGGTACGAAGTTCGCCGGGTCAGCTAGTTTTCTAATGATTTTTTTTTAGATTAAAAACAAACATCCAGTAATTAAATGCTTAAAAAATATATAACTATGATTTTTAAAGGTATCAATAGTTCAATGTGGAACAAGCTACATAGAACTGTTGAGAATAAAGAAATTAAAATTCACAATACTAATATGTTTCGAAGTCAGCTACAGAAAAAGAACGCCTGGCTAAAATTATAAGGTTACGTCCAGGCTTATTGATAGCGGACTTTGATTTTTCAGGCTTAAAATTATAGTTTAAAAAGTACAAAGCTTTGTTTTCGTGGACCTGAAAAGTGTACCAATAAACTACTTAGTTCGTTATGATTTTATTTATTTTTTAAGCAGTTAAATGTTTAAAAAATAAATAAAATCATAACTATAATTGCTATTTCTTCTTTCAAATGTTTAATACTTGAAAAAGTATTCATTTGACATTGTGGGTTACCTACAATGCGAAGAGATGGCGCTGCCTTGCAGCTTAAGGCTGGGAAAATTTCGACGCGGCTAATAGGGCCGTGGTAGCATAATGGTCAGTGCATTCGCCCGGATAGCGAAGGATGCGGGTTCGGGTCCCGTCCGCTGCCTGGTCCGCGTGGTTTTTTTTTTTTTACTTAGTTCGTTGTTAATTTCTAATTAGGTTTTTTAAGAATTCTTAAGGAACTTTATATTTTTCGGAACAGAAAGTAGCCAAGTTATACATTTTGTGTAGAGTGAGTTTGCCTTTTGAGAGTGCATTGGTGAACACTTTCATTTTATATATATATTTTCTATTCCACTGGAATCTATCAATTTTTAAACCGTGTCCCGTGTTGGGAAGGTATAGAGAATAATATAACAACGCTATTATTTAAGAACAAACTCACTTTTCACGATTCCGGAATCCGCGTTGTGATTTAAAATTAGAGCACGAATTTCAAACGAGGTTTCCTAAAAAAGGATTGTAAGTATACAAAGATATGTTAATATTTTTATTGTAGCGGTCAATGCTGCGATCATGGAAATCAAGCAACTATCAACAAAGGTTTACTGGATGGGTGATCTAAAATCCTGGCTGCATCTGCAGTCGTTAGCACCCACCAATCACACTGTGCCCGCTTTTATTCATTCATTCTTATCCATCCATAGGGAAGGCCTATGCCCTAGCAGCGGGGACAGCTCTATGTCAGGCTGATAATGCCAATGCCGATGCCAATATGATAAGACTTTTTTTACATGAACCAATATGTTGTTGTGATGGCGTAATACAGTCAAGTTACAGAGAAATGAATATCTTTACCAAAGAGCAAAGAGGGCCTTGGCCTAGGGCGGTAGGCTGCAAAGGGCTTCAAGAGTCGTTAGGGGCAGTAAAAGCAGAAGCCGTACACAGACATTCGTTAGTGAACTATAATTTTAGTTGATTAATTAATACTGGAGGAGCTCGATGGCGCAGGTGGTTAGCATGGTGGTCGGTCATTGGATGGGTGACCAAAAATTACTATCTCGAGCTCCTCATTGCTTCGGAAGGCACGTTAAGCCGTTGGTCCCGGTTGCATCTGCAGTCGTTAGCACCCACCAATCCGCACTGGACCCGTGTGGTGGGTCATTGCCCAATCTCCCTATTTCATCCATAGGAAGGCCTGTGCCCCAGCAGTGGGGACATTAATAGGCTGATGATGATGATGATGAACTAATTCTGGAAGATTCTGGGGATGCCAATAACAAATAGACCGGGCGCCAGATTTCAAAATACGCCCCTGGTCCTAACAGTTGGGACAGCCTTATGCCAAACTCATGATGATAATAACGATATTTCAATGTTTCCACCTTCCAGATCCCTACGTAAAAGTATGGCTGCAGTTCGGCGACAAGCGTATAGAGAAGCGCAAGACGGCCATCTTCAAGTGCACCCTGAACCCGGTGTTCAACGACTCGTTTTCTTTCAACGTGCCCTGGGAGAAGATCAGGGAGTGCTCGCTGGACGTGCAGGTCATGGACTTCGACAACATCGGTCGGAACGAGCTGATCGGACGAATACTGTTAGCTGGTGAGACTCAGGAATTCTTTACAAGCTTTTAATTTAAAGGTCATGGAATAGATTTCGATAATGTCGGACAGAACGAGATAATTGCTGCCAGTTGGTTTGTGGCATCTTTACAATCTGATATTTCGATTTTAGTCCTGTGGATCTTTGCTCCATAGCATGAGTATCGATATGATATATATCACTATTTAAAACATTCAATTGTCAAAGTACAAGTGTTATAAAAATGTGATATTACAATATCTTGGAGCTCATGCTACAGGGGCAAATGTCTACAGGACAGAAACCAAATCATAACGAAATATCAGATTATTAAGATAACCGCAAGATGGCCATCTATAAATGCACCCTGATCCCGGTGTTCAACGACTCTTTCTCCTCCAACGTGCCCTGGGAGAAGATCTCGCTGGACATGCAGGTCATGGACTTCGACAACATCGAACGGAACGAACTCATCGGACGAATGCTGTTGGCTGATGAGACTCAGTAATTTTTATTTATCTAGATGATCATGGTTTCTGACAACATTGGGCGGAGCTGATCGGACGCATATTAGCTGCCGAGACTCAGTAATTTTTAAAAACTTTTATTTAACTAGATTTTCATGGATTTTGACAACATTGGACGGAACGAGCTGATCGGACGAATACTGCTGGCTGGTAAGACTCAGTACTTTTTACAAGTTTTTATTGAACTAGATGGTTATGGTCATGGATTTGACAACATTGGGCAGAACGAGCTGATCGGGCGAATATTGCTGGCTGGTGAGACTCCGTTATTTTTACTAGCTTTTATTTTACAAGATGGTCAAGTATTTTGACAACATTTGGCGAAGCGAGCTCATCGGGTGAAGAAGAATTAGAGAGGCTGGTAAGTCTCTCTAATTTTTTAGTAGCTTATTACTTTGATAATATCGCGTAGGGACATCACATCACAGTCATAACGCGGCTAGAGCTCTATGACATCACAGTCATAACTAAATAAATAAATAATAACGCGGCCAGCCGAAAATTCGTTTAGTAATTTGGCCATAAGTTCGTCAATATTTGTCGTAGAACAAAAATTTAACCACTTTATTTATCCTTAGCTATATAAATCTGCATTCTCAACTAAAATCGTTACGTTCCTAATTACCTTGGCAATTCGAAAGAACTTCTGAATGAAGACAATATTAATAATAATTGTAAAACTCTTTCGATTTAAATAAAGAAATGTTGGTTTTATTAAATTTCAATTAACAAATTTCAGGTAAAAACGGCTCCGGCGCTACAGAAACCAAGCACTGGCAGGATATGATCACGAAACCGCGGCAGACCATCGTCCAATGGCATCGTCTGAAACCAGAGTAAAACGTTGTTAATTAAAAAATATAATAATATATTTTAAAAAAAGAAAACCAGCAAAAAAAGTTAATACAAAACGTCATAAGACTGAGCGGTTAACAAAATAAAAGAAAAAGAAAATGGCACCTTCGAAAACAAAAAAGAATCTCTAATTCTCCGCTGTGAATTGCATGACTTTTGAATCGTTTTTAATCCTAGAAATGTTGAAATATTTTGTGGATTAAATTTACGATTTACTATCTCTTGAACACTGACAATGCGCACTTATAATTATTTTTAAATTTTAAGTAGTTGTAAATGTTTAATTACATACTTTAAATTAAATTTGTCTTATTAAAATGAAGTCACTATAAAATTTTTTCATATTCTGTTTTCATTCCTAATACATTTAAGAAAACATTATAAATTGAAATAATTCCAATAGAGACCTTATTTTTAAAATGTAAAATGTAAGTTTCACAGACAAATAAATGGATTTAGTTGATAATTTATATTGCGACTTTGTGTTAATTAAATATATGCGCACATTTCTAAATACTCGAAAACAATTTCTGAATAAAAACTATACACTTTAAAAATCTATTAAAACTATTGGATCTATGTCCTTGTAACTTATGCTAAGGTCAGCATAAAATTGAATTCTAAATCTATATAAAGTACAATCGCAGAAGTTTGTGACACATCACTTTTAGCGAGAAGAGTCGTGCTCTTGAGATCGGATGAATGAATTTAAGGAAAAAAATGAAACTCATGGAACATCTAACTGCTTTGAATGTACCTAGTAGTTAACAAACCTCTACCCTTAATTTATCCGATAAATTTAGGAAAATTCTTGGTATTTTTTTAATAAAATGAAATCTATATCTACAAATACTGTCGTACGACATTATTATGTTCATTTGAAAAATAGGTTTGAAATTCAATTTTATCGAGCGTCCACCTTTAAAAACTAAAATGTCTCTTAACTTCTATTATTGACGTTTTTAAAGTTGTAAAGTTGAATGATCAATGTTAAGAGTTTTACTAAGTAACAAAAAAAATGTTAGAAAATAACGAAATTAATTATTAATTGTTAAAATGTAGAAATTAACGAAAATGTCGAGTTCACATCGCACAAAATGATGTAGTGTGTTGATTTTAACGTTTTTATCCTTGTGTGTGTTTTGTAAAGTGTTTTTAACCGTTTTTAATATATTTTAAAGTTGCTCAAAAATTCAAAGGAGAAAACTGCTGATTTATTCCATTTTACTCTTTCCTCTCTTTACTTATTGATAACCATATCGAAATTTCACATTTAAATATTGACAAAAAAATAATAACAATCAACTAACTGCCAAATTATTATCAGACAGAGAAGAAAACATTTTAACCGAATTTTAACAAGTTGTGTGTCAAAAATACATCTTCACATCTATTAATTTTCGTGTGTATGCTTAAGTATATAAGAAATATCATTCTAAATTCATTATTAAAACTTAAGATATTATAAAAATGGAGGGTGTATTTGGCTGGTCAATTTTAGGTGTGAAAAATTAAATTCGATTGTTAGATCGATTCGATCGGGGGGGGACCTTAAATATAATTCTACTTTGTATTTAAATGTGATAAGATAACTGAATCAAGCAATGGATTTATATAAATGATTGATTTATATAACAGCCATATTAAATGAATGATTTATATAACAGCCAAACTCAGAGACGTTTAGTAATTTTAATGATTGTTGAAAACAAGTATTTTGCTTGTGTTATTCTATTGTTATCGCAAAAAGAAAGTGAGAGCATCAACTTTAATCGAACTTAAAATTGGCTTAATATCTCTGAGTGCGATCTTAAGTAACAGTCGAATAAATTACGAATTGCCACCTTACCGCCATATTGGCTTTATAGTAATATAAGTTATTTACGGGATTGTTACCATGTACCTTGTTTTAATATCGGAAACTCGCTTAGAACAAGGTACATGGTAACAATCCCGTAAATAACTTATATTACTATAGTGTTAGTGACCATGAAAGTTTAAAACAATATATATTTGCTTTAGCCTAAATCTAATGCAAGTTTTGTTGAATTGAAAGAAGCTAATCACCAAAGTTTTCGATTGTACATTGGCATTCAATTGTAGGAAGAACGGCAAAAAAAACATTAATGATGTTATTTTACAATTTTTTGCTTAAACAAAAGTGCGGAACCCTCGTAGTAAGTAATAAATACGTTACCACTTTTGTTATAACGTTTGAAAAATAAAAAAATCTAATATTAGTGGTATCAAAAATGCTTGTTGTTAAATGTTACGACGCTTACATTCCGTAAAGTAGTCATAGGTTCGATGTTGGAAACGAATAAAAAGTGTCACCTGAATCCGTAAAAAAATATTATATACATTTATATTTAAAAAAAAGAATTTTATAGCGAGATGTAGCGTATTATAGATGTACTTTATCATGTAGCTTGTTGTAAAATAGATGTTAGAGAGAGTTCGATGTTTATCTAAATTAGTTGCAAAGGTCTGTTAACGAAAAAAAAAAGAATTTAATAATCTAAAAGAAAAAAAAACGGAAAATATGACATTACTTTTTTTTTAACCCACTAACAGAGCTTGAGAAATCGATTTTCAAATGCCAACAATAACATAAAAAATGTTTAGTGTCTTAAACGAATATCCCTAGTTATAGAAACTTGCGTAATTGTAAAAATAACAACAGAAGAAGTATTTAATTATAATGTCAACTTTACTTGTTTTCTTTGTTAGACATTGTTTTATGTAACTGTTGCGATACCGGTCCGTTCGCGTTGGTGAAATTACCGGTTTTATAATCTGGTCGTATGTTTTCTCGCCACTTGGAATTCAACGTTCCCATTCCTAAATGGAACAAGTAACTTTTCGTAACAAGTTTGGATACACAAACAATATTTTTGCTTTTCGCATAATTTTTTTTTAAGTTTTTCCGACCAGTATATTCAAAACTTTACATAGATTACAATAAAAACTATTGTGATCTACCTATTAATTATTTTGTAATAAAAATTTCTCTTGTTCTTTTTTTAATTTAGCATTTCTTCTTCTTTTTCTTTTTTTATGGCATGCACGGTTTGTGCTTTCAGCCAATGTCAAGTAAAATAATTTAGCATTTAACAGAACACTTTCCTGCTGTTCTTTTTTTTTAATTATATTTTTGTGTTTTTTAATAATGCAAAGAACAGGTTAAATCCTGATAGGATTTTGGAGTAAATGGAGTAGCTAAAAATAATCGTAACTTAATAAAACTATATTTTTTACTCTCGTGTTTTTTCAAATACCAAGGAACATAGAGGAAGGAAAACCTTGTAAAATCATGCTTACTCAAATTTATTTTTGCTATACACTGTCGTGTTGTTTCGAAACTAGCATTAAAATGCTGATGCTTTTAGCTGTAACTTAACAATGATTTTGCGATTTCAAATCAATGAAAGCATATCCTGATGTACTAGGAATGTTTTATAAATTATATAAAAAAATATATTGTAAGTATAATGAAAGGTCAAAATGAGAGGAATAATTCTAATAAATGTACATAAATAGATATATTCATATGTAACATGCAATGTCATGAATATTTGAGCTCTGGTTGATTTTTTAATGTATTTTTCTGATGCTGTGTACTAATCTTCCGATCTTTCTACCTCTCTCGCTTATTTTAATTAAACTTTAAAGTAACGATAATATTTTGATTTAAAAATACATTTTAATTTTTAAGCCATAATTATAGAAAGAGTTTTATAATTTTATTAAAAATATTTGTGATGTACAACAAGCAACCTGACATATCAATGTGATTTTCAATTTATTTTTGCTGAGCTTTCGAATTTCAAAATAATAAAAATGTATTTATATTTTTTGTGAAAGGAAAATATTATGTCCTATATATGTATAAACGAAATATGAAATAGGTACAATATATTTTGCAATATTCAACGTTATTTCTAAATAATAAAATAAAATAGATGTTTATCTAAAATTATTTTTGCGATAGATTAAATAGAACCACGTTTTACAACTTGAGTATTTTAAAAGCATAATAATTATAGTATATATATTTAAATTTACTCTACAGATTTACCTATTTAACTTTTATAGCTAAGTCTACTCCTTCTTTTGAATTATCAGACAGTTAATTCTTGAAAGTTTTCACAATAAATGTGTATTTACAATAAATATTAGCATTATAAATATGGCTGCCACTCCTGATACATCACTCTTAAAACCATGTGTATCTTTTTACCTAATATTTTGTTTCTTATCTGCATCGCTTCATAAAAAGTAAGTCAAACATGAATGAGATCATTATTTATAATGACAGGGTGCCCTTACATTAAAATAATAAAAACTTCCCACGATTTTGGCTCACTGTCTGTTTGTCAAAGGTATATTTAATGAATGAAAAATTGACTTTGACTTTACTGAGTTTGCTTCAATATTAAAAGGCATTTACGTATTTCATTTCTTTTTTTTATTATTAAATAAAAATAACGAGTGTGTACTACGAGTGGAGCCTAAATGAAAAAGTTGTTGTAATCATAGTGTATTTTCAGTTACATTTTCGCGCGCTTCTCGTTGCCCGCCATTATGAAATGTGACAGCTTATTAGTCGTTCGGATATTTCCGTGGCTCTATTACCTAATTTGCAACTGTTAATCGACTTGTTTTAAAAATATATATATAAATAGTTTTTTTGCTGTATATTCAGAGTCGAATGGTTGTCTATTAGATAATAGTTCCACAGCTCAAACGATATAAACTTAATAATCTGTCTGTGTCTATTTTGTGCAATATATAAGTGTACTAAATGTTATAATTAGGAGAATTGTGATTTTAACAATATAGTTGACTATATTTTATCGTATAGTTTAAAAAAAATAATAACATTTAAAAACTATATTATTATGTAATATCATAAATAAGATCAATGTTTAGATAAATATAGTTGGGAAAAAATAAAATGTATTTATAGACTGTTAAGTTTAAAAAAAATACCATAATGTTATCAGAATTACACAGTTTTTATTTTAGTTTTTCTTTAATAGATTTGTATTTAAAAAAATCTTTAGTGTATGTATTTTGATTTATAAGTCAACTTAGGAAGCATTAAAAATAGAGTTGATGTTGAAAAAAATTAATGTATTTGTTTTTGATACCGTTGTAAATGTAAATGATAATTTCATTACTGATTTGTATGTTTTAATGTAATTTAGATGTATATTTATATAATACGCGTATTATAAAGTGTTGAAGATTATTACTGTATTGTGTATTAACTGAAATTAATTATTCCCGAATAAAATATTGAGTTAATAATTTAGCATTTCACTCAACATTTGTTTTCTTTTAGGGTGGGGTGCACCCCGGCAAACTTTTTAAGCAACCTGCATGCGCAGTAGCAATAGGGATGATGACTAATTTTTTTTCTTCGTTTATCAGGTAGATTATCAAACAGTATTGGACACGTATTTTTTCTTTTTTCACATAATATAAACATTGCAGAGATATATTGATTTGAAAAGTCGCATGACGTCACGTTTGAGTACACTTATAAGTGAAAATTCACTAAAAAGTGACGTCACGAGCCCCTATTCCCAAACTTTGACGCGCTATAACTTTGTCATTTTTTGGTTGATTGCCCAAAGAAAAAAATACGTGTCCATTATTTTTTGATCATCTAACTGACGGACTAAATAGAATCTCGTTTACTGTACCCCGTCATCACCCCTATTTTACATACAAAAACATCTACTGCGCAAGTTTATTTATTTGTCTGTGGTTTTGCTCAATACGTTTGCCGCTACCTATACTCCACGACGTGTGGCTATCCAATATAACTTTTTTGTTATATTTAACAACAAATCGCATTTTTTTTATTTTAATAAACATAGTTTCATTTTGACAGGATAAGATCAATGTTTTTCATATCACTAATCTATGGTTTATCGTAAAGCGCAATATGTGGATGGTCATATGTGTTATTTATCAGTGCTCTTCTGTAAGATGTAGAGGTGTAAAAGTAACGAAAAAAAGCGTACCCGTATGTATTCGTTACTTTAACAATTAGTACTCGTTACTATAGTATCGTTACGTTACTTCTCATAAAAAAAATCGGTTTTACTATTTTGATATTTTGAACTGTGAGCTTATACACTCCCGGGCACCTAAATCGCGCCACCTTGATTTTTTTGGTTTGGAGTACTGTAACTTATAAAAGATGTATGTAGAAGGAAAATTTTTTGATGCAGTTTTGGAGCTGGTATTCTCATCATTCATTAAGAGTGCCATTGTTCTAAAATTGAACTACAGTTTATTAAAAAAGTCGAGTTACGTTGAAACAAGTCCATATTTGCTTTTTTCAAGGAAAAAAATCTAATCGATTTTTAAATAAAGACATGTTTTACATGAAAAGAAATGTTTATTTAGTAACTTGTATTGCATCCCAGTGCATTAATGACAGCTCTTATACGGTTTGGCATAGAATAAATCAATGTCGTTATGACATGTTGAGGAATGTCCTCCCATTCTTCCAAAATTACATTTTTTAGCTTCTGCATGGTTTGCGGGGCAGGATGAGCTCGAACACGCCTCTTCAGCTCATCCCATAGATGCTCTATAGGATTCATATCAGGACTTCGCGCTGACCATCTCAAAACAGTGATACCAATGTCATTTAAATACTCCCTGACGATTCCCGCAGTATGGGCCCTTGCATTATCATGGATTAAAACGAAATCTTGGCCAATAAATCCAGCATATGGCATCACGTGGTTCTCTAAACATTGGCGAATGTATCTATTGCCATCTAGGGGCGGTAGCCGTGGTCCCGTCACTACCTCTAGCTCAGTTTTGCCTTCCATAGAGATTCCTCCCCAGACTGTCCATGATCCTCCACCATAACTCACTTTCTCGTCAATACAGCATTGCGCGAAACGCTTGTTCTGTCTTCGGTACACCTTACTCCTTCCGTCATTACCGTATAGCATTATCTCGGACTCATCTGTGAAGAGAACCTTGCTCCATTGATGTCGAGTCCAATTTAGATGTTCGCGCGCAAACTCCAGACGGGCTATTCGGTGTGCTCGTGTCAATTTGGGTCCATTGGCTGGCTTATGGGGCTTTAAACCACGTTCATTGAGTCGCCTTCTAACGTCCGAGCACTTACAGCCACTCCGTGAAAGTCCTTGAGCTGTTCTTATATCTGAACAGAGTTAAGGCGTCGATTTCGTAAGCTAGTAGTGACAATGTATTGATCTTGTCTCGCTGTTGTCACTCGGTAACGAGGTCCTCCTGTTCGCCGAACGAAGCCGCCAGTCTCCAGGTATCGGTGGTACACTCTTTGAACAGCGGAACGACTTATGTGAAGTTGTGAACTCACATCTCGCTGACTTAGCCCAGATTGAAGAAGTGCTACAGCTTGCGCGGCTACTTCAGGTGAAGTATCCATAATTTTATAGCCAAAAACGGTTCAAATTATAGAAAAATAACTAAACTAAACTTTGGTTTACAACAAAACCAAATCGACATTAAATTGCTTCAAAAGCAACTTTCAACAGTCATTATTTTTTTCAAATCAGTGACCAAGCTCGGCTTTTGTTCTTTATTTTAAATTCTAAAATTCAAATTTGGAATAATACATACGGGAAAGACGATGAAATATGCCAGCATTAAAAATGCATAAAAACTTTTTTGTCATATTGTATCTTTTTTGTGTATTGGGCTTTTAGGCCCGGGAATGTAAGGTGGCTCGATTGAAGAGTCCGGGAGTGTATTATATCACATTAACATCGCAATCCATTATTCATCAATTATAATGATAAAGCAACAAATAGGTGACGAAAATTATTGTATTGATAATAATACTTAAATAGCATTCTAACGATAAATCAACATAAAAATAGTTTTGCTTAGAATGAAATTAAACATAACAAAAGAAAGAACTACAACAAAAATATTTTGTTCTCAAAATAAAATTATAAAAAAAAAAATATTTTAAACAAAATCTATCAAGTTGGCTATTTCGATAAGCTTCTGTGAGGTAGTCAACACGACAATAAACTTTCTCACGTCCATTTTACCGGAATAGCGTATATTTTAACGATTCCACTAATTCTTCAGTTACGCAGACGGTAGTAACACAAAATTACACCAATTTTATTTCACAATATCCACTATGAACGAATTTAAGAATAATTAAAATAAGACGCCAACCGCACTCGATGAAATCCCGGCAAAAACTCCAACGTACGTTTTTAAACTCTCCGAATATGCTCGCGCATGCTTAAAACATACGATCAGCAAATGTTTCTAAACACATATCAACTGTACTTACGTAAACTGAAACATATAGATAGTCATACTACGAAAAATGCGAGTAACGAAGTTTATTTGTGTGTAACGTTTCGTTACTCGGTACTAGATGGCGCACCCGTTACTCAGTACCGAATACATACGGTTTGCTACAGCTCTAGTAAGATGATGGTTCAATATGAGCGATAAATTCTTCTTTATAAATCAATTAATGAATTTGATGGATAATGGAGGCAATACATTTGCATTTATACTTAAAGTAAGTCCATGCATTATACATACTACTAACCTAACTAATTAACCATGTGAGCGATCTGAGCGCCGTCATTACCAATACCGTTCTTTAATTGACCGTTTCTTAGGTACTCAAAGTGTAAAAATGGAACCCTATTGCTGTCCGTCTGTCTATTTGTACGTCTATCCGGGTCTGTAGATCGTAAACGGTATAAGTTACAGTACTGAAAATTTGGTATTTTATGCGAAACGCTTGCCCCAAAATTTCAATTAAATTATTTATAATGGGGGGAATACATGAAAAGGAGACATTTTATTTCTTACCCCGGCATGTGACACATGGTTGTTTAGACTCGTTGAGTAGGATAACAAAGAAATGGAGGGCATCATAGTTGTAATTTTTAGACTATTTTTAGTACGGAGTCTATCTTGGGTCTATCTCAAAATTGAAACTGGTTGAGAATGTGAAATTTTAGTATATGATGGATGTCGCATATCACGCAAACGAAGGGTTCCGTCTATGCGCGAAACCGACTCGCACTTAGTCGGTTTTTTTACTATTGTTGCATAGAAAAGTCATTATTGTATAATAATGAAATAATTCATGCGAGGAGCTCGATGGCGCGAGTAGCTAGCGCGTTCGGCTGCGATTGTTGAAGTTAAGCATCTTTCGCAATGGTCGGTCTTTGGATGGGTGACCAAAAATCTTCTATCTCGAGTTACTCCGCGCTTCGGAAGGCACGTTAAGCCGTTGGTCCTGGCTGCATCTGCAGTCGTAAGCACCCACCAATCTGCACAGGGTCCGCGCGGTGGGTCATGGCCCAATCTCCCTATTCCATCCATAGGGAAGGCCTTTGTCCCAGCAGTCGGGACATTAATAGGCTAATGATGATTAATAATAATAATTTTATAATAATGATTATTTCTGGTGATTGCCTGTACCACCGCCAGTGGGTTCCCACGACTAGGACTGCGTGGTTCAATTAGTTTACCATACAAACTTCCGACCCCTCTTTTCTCGTCCTTAAAGGTTGATTTCTAATATTAAAAAAATCCTATCTACTTTCCCGGGACTCCGACTATATCTATACCGGATTTCATCTAAATCGGTTCAGCGGTTTAAGCGTGAAGAGGTAACAGACAGACAAACACACTTTTTCATTTATAATATTAGCATGGATATGATGTATGGATTATATCCATTGTTAGTTAATGAAACAAACGCTAAAAAGGTAAGAGAGGGTAGAAATAAAAGAAGAGAGATTTAGAAATTTTGTGTTTTTTTTTATTGAATAACTTTTATAATTAATATTTTTTTATCAATATCACAAACATACTATATTAATAGGGCAGGTATTCAGGTAAAAAAAGCCGATAAACTTCTAAAAAAAATCGTTTACAATCACAATTTGTGTCGCATTCACTGTCTTTCGCCAACAAAACGAATGCATTCATTCATTTAGGACAATAATGTCCTGTTTGTCAGAGTATATCTCTTTTTAAATCAATAAAATTCAATGAACAGGAAGTAGGAAGTGGCCTTTTGTAATATAGTTATTGTTATAATTTTATTGTTAGAAAATGATTTAAATAAAACTTTGAAAGTTGGTAGCTACTGTTGTAAAACGTTTTAGTTAACAAGTTGAAGGATAAAAATCGGTACAGCGTTATTAAATTGAGACCAATCAATTACACCCACAGATTAATTTGACGCGCGAAATTTTGCAATAGGAATAACTCTTTTTTTAACTTTTTTTTTATTTAACTTTGGCGTTCGGATACGCATTCTAGTCTGTGGGCATTTTTTTTTTATTTTATTTTTTTTTATTTAGGCCTTGGGCTTCTCTTCTTCCTTCTTCTCCTCTTCTGGGGGTGGAGTTGGGAGTTCGGGGTACTCCAACTTGGCACCATCTTCGCATGTGAAGATCGGACAACAGCCAGGGAAAGGCGCGGTCTTGTTGGTCTTGTCTGGAAAGAATAAAAACATAACATAAAAAATAAGTCCAAATAAGTCCCAAACGGCACTAACTAAACAGCACAGTGTTGCAGAAATTCATTTGTTTGTCGTAATTAAAGTAAACCATATTAAATGTCTAAAATATGATTCATAACTATCGGGTTTAAGTTATGTGTATGTTAAGTTTTCTCAAGTTTTCTCGTAATTTTCTGATTTTTTCTATAATAAACCTAAAGAAGTATAAGGAAACTTTAAAAAAAATATGAAATTGGTAAAATAGGTCTAAAGTTCTATATTTTTTATTTTTGGAAATTTACATTCCAATGACAAGGTATATTAAAAACAGTCACATGCTTGTAATACCTTTTGACATATAACAACTACATTAAATTCTGAACTCACATACAAATAACAAATAAAAAATGACAATTAAGAGGAAGATGATATATATAGCGTGACAAAGGAAATATGGATTCATTTTTATATTATAAAGAAGCTTTTTCATATAGGTATGTATTTTAAACTAAAAATGAATGACAAAACCTCGACGACTAGCCATGAGCAACAGTTATGAGTATTGAACCGTAGTCACACGCTCCAATTATTGCCCGATAGGTACACAGTTTTTTTTAAATATCTCCCAAAACATAGGCTTTGGTTGGTCGAACAATTCGCTTTGTCCTTTGTTGCGCAAACTATTGGATGAATAATCCAGTTATAGTCATCATTGAAATTTCATTCTTGGCTCCATGGATCGGTGCGTTCTCGTTTCGATATCTTTCCGATCTGTACCGAATCTGTACAAATTCCTTACCGAGTGCATGTCATTAAACTGGTGTTATATTAAAAATGCTTATAATTAACTACCTCACTGAGTTTTGAGTTTGGATACAGAATCTTTACCGAACGGGGTAAAAGCACAAAACAGTACCCCTAGCATGAACCAATATCGAATTCGTATCGTCTGCGAGTCCGAAATGTCATTGTCAAATATGTAGGTACTGATTTTTAGTTCTCGTTACGTACTTTGTGGCGCTGCTGTTCAAGTTTCCATACAAATTTGACATTGACATTTCGGTTTGCAAACTATTCGAATTCGATAATGGTTCGTGCTACAGCTCTCTGTTCCGAGTGCTACCAAATTATTCAACCCTTTGCCATCCTGTCACTCTTGCAACTACAATAGAACGAAACGATATCGCACCAAAACGTTGACGGTGAAGAACTGAATCTCGGTACTGAACCTGTACAGATTCGGTACAGAAACGAAAACCAGCCCCCACTGACCTAGTGAAGAAGGCGCCTAAGCTTATATTCTTAAGACCATTGCGAAACAACAAGGTAGACTTTCGTCTAAATATACGTATGCCTGGAAACAAGGCCACGAGGAAGGCCTGTGCCACAGCAATGGGGACATTACTGGACTAATGAAAATGCCTTTATACAACTGTGGGGAGCAATGATAATTAATGCTTACCAGTGTCAAGTTTGCATTTAGGGTTGGCCAGCGGTAAGGGTCCGCAGTCTTCTACCAGCTCCAGCAGCCTTGGTGGCGTGTCTTCGCTGACGACGCAGGTGCTGCGGCCGCAGAAGGGAGCCAGGTCCCAGGTGTTGCCGGGCTCGACGGTCGCACAGCGGGTCGAAGCGAAGCACATGCCGGGGAAGTCTGGAAAAGAAAGAGGGTATTTTTAAGATACATTATCGTGAAATGCTAATGATGAGTAGATTTTTGGAATACCAAATAAAACACAGGTGAAATTAAAAATCCAATCTTTCTTAATCCTCTTGAATGAGTAGTGAAGAATAAACTATTAGAAAACTCAAATATGACACAGGTTCACCGTCTGAATTTGTTTTTTTTTTTTATTGTTTTCGATTTCGTAATTTCAAGAATTTGACAGTTTGTGGTAATAAAAATAGAAAAGCCCAAAGTAAGCACTGAATGGCTTGAGTTATAGGATACTAAGGTAACGGATACAATACATATACTGATAGATATGTATGTATAAAACATCCATGACTTAGGTAAAAATTCTCGTGGGCGACATCTTGAAATCATACCATAACCATTGATAACATACCGCTGTTTAACATAAATTCCAATACTAATGTAAGCATTCAGTTAAGTTACTTAATTTCAAAAGCTAAGCAAGCATGAATTTAAGTACAATAACCATTAGCTGTGTATTATTATTACTTGACAAATAATACCCACTTTATGCAACTTTCTAGTATCATAAAGCGTAAAGACGGACGGACGGATGGACTAACTAACAGTCCATTCTAATGCCTAGCTCTTAACGAACTTACATAACTTCACTACTCTAGTGCTGTATTATCTGTGCCTATGTGAAACTCGATGGCTCTGTCTTTAAATCCTTCAAAGCCGCATGCGAACAATAAATTTAATACAAATAATTTAATCCATTATCCCCGCTTTACAATCAAATTTACTTGAGCGTTAATAAAAACTGAGTACAGTTTTTATTAACGCTTTATTATTATTATTATTTTTTACAGTTTCTTTTCCTATCGCCTTCCAGCGACTAATACAACTCTTTTTTATTCTAATCTAATAAAATTAAAAAATAATTGAAGATGTACTATCGTTTATTACAATTGAGCTCTATTTTCATCTAAGAATTAAGTGCACATAATCACAAAAAACTGTAGAAGCATTTCAAATTAATTAAATAGATAATAAAAAAGAATCGGAAGTATCTAAGAGGTAAATCACACTTTCAAATTCCCTTATTTTATTACTAAACAAAAAAAAAGAAAAGAATTTCTCTAGAGTTTTATCATTGATACTGTAAAAGTAATCTAGATCAGCATTCTAGACTTTCTAAAGAACGAAAAAACTGTAAGTTCTTAGTGCTATTCAATCGTAATGGTTGAAACTAATTTTCAAAGCATGATTTCACAATTTAAGTGGATAAAATACAATTTCTCGCTCAAGTTGAGTTACTTTTAAAATTATTTTCTTTGATTTATATAAGAATCTACAATTTACTGAAAGTAAATAAATTTAAGACCTTACGATAGAAATCGATGCAAAATTATTAATAGATCATGATTTCATGAAAAATAATTAGAAATAATTATTTTCTATATCTATAGAAATGACAGCGGTCAATTGCTTGATACTCAAGTATAAAAAGACCCTGTTAAAAAAAACGTAATGAAAATAAAAACTTTAGTGAATTCTACAATTACGCTCCAACGTTGTTATTATAGCTGGTAATAATTCACTTCGCTTCATTAATTAAAGTTACGTAATTTAACTCGTTACGCCAAATTCAGACGTCGTCCATCAGCAGCTATGCATATTAGAGTATTTGTCGTAAAAACTCCCAAAAGAAACTAGTCCAAGGTTTTGTGGAGTCCAAAGTGACTCATTGTGTGTTCAGTCATAGCGTTCGTTGTTGCTAAACTATGTTGAAATGCATCCGCCGAATGCGTTATGTGTGCCACTGGAATTTTCTAGAATCCCTTTGTATCGTCGAAAATTTGTGTCTTTTTTCCACGAATGGGTCATTACGAAATCCTCAAAGGTTTCCTCCATTCTAATAATACAAGGATGGCAATTCTACGTAATACCTTAGAGGTCATCTGTAGAATTATATTGTTTTTTAACTTTAATGATATAATTAAACAGTTTTAGTATTTACATAATTATATTTTTCTTATTACTGCTTTTTCGGACAGCTTTTCGAGACTAGAGATTTCTTGGTAAAATTAGGTACCCAGAAAGTAAATTCTCATCTTTGCTTAAATATTTTTTTTGTTTAATCCTCAATGTGTATTATTATTATACTCTTTATTGCATCATATAGTTAAAACATATAGTAAAATACATAGTAAGCAAAGGTGGGCTTATCTCTAAAAGAGATCTCTATTTTTACTTGATTTATTTTAGGTAACAAAACAGTTTGTGTTTTCACGGACAAAAACATGAAGGAATCATGTTAATAGAAATAATAACAAAACTTGCGTAGTTTTTGTGAAAATTCCTAAATTATTTTTCATCCCACCACCTCGGAAAGTGTAATTTTGCGCTTCGAAATCTGGCTGGAAAATTCTATTTTATTCGCTTGAGCGGCAAAGTAGATTTGAATTTAGAACATCAGATATAATGAGTACTCAATATAATTGTAAATTCAAAACGTCATTAAACCTATTTAATGTAACCTCTATGGTGCCAAATTTATGATTAGAACTTTTTAAATTGTGAAAAAATTTAAATTTGGAACCTTCTTGGTTTCTTTGTTTTATTTGCGTGCTTCGCGCCATTCTAGTTTTTCACGTTTTATTGCTTAAATATTTTGTCATTATAAATTGTTTTCTTTTTCATTTTGTCATTTCCTCGCTGAGGTGGGATGAAAAGTTACGTATTGCACTCGAGTGGAAAGATTTTTCACCTTGTGCTCGTTTGTTTCCCTCGCTGACGCTCAGGATTCTAATTTAGAATCCTTCGCTTGCTCGGTCATCCAAATCGAGCACGCGGTTAAAAAGGAACTTTCCACTCTTGTATAATAAATAACTATTTCCTAACCATTGATTTGATCACACATAAAATGTTAAACTGAAAGTGAAAAACTATTATTACGCAAACATTCTTTAATTTATGTTTTATTCAATACTAGCTGTGCCCCGCGGTGTTACCCACGGTTTATTAGGGATATTTCCAGGGTGTCAGCTAACACCATACCAAATTTTATTAAAATCGCTCCAGTCGTTTAGACGTGAAGAAGTAACAAACATACACACTCGCACACTCACAAATTTTCGCCTTTATAATATTAGTGTGATTATAAAGTCTTGTTTTAAGAATTAATTAACTTTTAAATGTTACACTGATTTCTTATCACTATAGAGGTAGGTTATTTCTTTTGTTAAATAAATGGTTGTAATTGAATCTTCGTTTGCAACGGCACTTTTTATATAACCTTTTACATTGACCCTGAATTCGGCTTTTAACGAATTGTTCGGTCATGGCCATGATTATATTATAAATAATTACACCCTCAGATTTGTGTAAACGATTACGGGTTTACGCTAAAAAATCTACTGAATTATTTAAAGTTTCAAAGGGTTAGATGCACTGATTTTATTTATTTATTGACGTTTCGCATCCTTTGCAGGAATACGTCTCGTCGGAATAATGATTTTTTATTTACTTTATCGAGCTACCTTCGAAAGACTTTTTTTAAGTCTTTCGAAGTCTTTGTCTTTGGCTAAAGACTATGCATCTAACCCGTTGAAACTTGTTTTATTTAATGAGTGATGTGCGTGAAAACCTAAGAAACAAATAATAATTATTTACCTTTTTCCCTTTACCCGTGTTATATTTTGTATGTTATTTCAGTTTATGTGCGAAATATTTATTTAAGAATATGATTAAGAAGAAAATCTTCTTTTTATAAAGTGACAATGAAAAAAAAGGAAGTCCTACACTTAATATAATTACGGATTACCGTTTTCTTATTAAAAACATCTAGCATTAAAAGACTTAACTGCTAGATGATTAGATTTACACATACGGTTAAATGCTTAAGAAATAAATATATAATATTTTTCTATACACTTTTAATGGTAGCTAAAATCGGTTAACTCTAAATTGTCCCAAACACGTTTGACCTATTTAAGCAATTTCTTGCGACGCGCTAAAATTTCCATGAGTCAGGTAACTGCCCATTGACCTAACTACCTTAAACAGTGCTGTTTAGAGTATATGTACTCTATGGTGCTGTTACATTTTCGACTAGAACTTCAACAAAATATACCTTTAACACTGTTATGGTTATTTTTTAGTTTTAAAACAGATATATATCGGTAATATTTTTTCTCAACAGTACAATTAATTTGTACACCCCTCTTTATTTCTGTATCACCATTTGTTACCATATTCTGCAAATCAAGATGATTATAAATTTCTTGGTTCTAAGTATGGTTTCAATTGTTATTCAGATTTCTTCAAAATTGATGCTTCAGTTAACGAAATTCATTGCACGCATTTTATTTTGTAAATTAATAATCTCTTAAAATTAATACTTGTTTTCAAAATAAAATGCGTGCAATGAATTTGGATCATAACAATGTCCAAGATAGGCATAAGTACTTTCTCATTTCTCGTAAATTTCGGTCGATATCAATAGATATTTTCTTTATGTTTTAGATGTTAGATGCAAAAAATAATTTTAAATATGACATTATTATTATAATTAAATTTCTACGATGCGCAGCAAATAGGTTTATGTGTACCAATCATTACTAAGTTTAATTATATATGTACAGAAAATCAATAAAACTTAAATACAATAAATATAAACAATATCTATTAAATTTCAAATCTCAAATTACTAATCACGGCTTTTTGGTATAGGGATTATTAAAACATCTATTTATATTACGAATTAGACATAAGTCTCGTTTTCGCTGGAATTGGAGCGCCCGTCTGGAGAAGTAGAAGACTACAGTAAAATATTACTACCTTTTGGTGGTGTTGTGCTTCTGTCGGTGAGTAAGGTTCGAGGGCTCCACGGGGTAGGGGATTGGGGCAGGGTAGGTAACGGAGCGAGTGGTATTTTTGATATCGCTTACTTTTAGGCGTGTCATACGCTTGATTGTCACTTACTTAACATTAAAAAAAGGCATAAGCTCTTTAAAAATCTAGGAGCTCGATGGCGCAAGGGGTTAGCGCGTTCGGCTGCGATCGTTGAACTTAAGCAACTTTCGCAGTGGTCGGTCATTGGATGGGTGACCAAAAAGTACTATCTCGAGCTCCTTCGTGCTTCGGAAGGCACGTTAAGCCGTTGGTCCCGGCTGCATCTGCAGTCGTTAGCACCCGCCAATCCGCACTGGGCCCGCGTGGTGGGTCATGGCCCAATCTCCCTATTCCATCCATAGGGAAGGCCTGTGCTCCAGCAGTGGGGACATTAATAGGCTGATGATGATGATGATGATGATAAGCTCTTTAAAAATCGCATTCTACAAGCGTTAATCCATTGACCACCTCCGTGGCCGAGTGGTTTGTATGCCAGGTTTCCTGGGGTCGCCTACTCGAGAGGTCCCGGTCGTATTCCGGTGGGAGCAGAAGTTTTGTGATAAATACGAGCATTTGTACTCCAGTCTGATCCAGTGGATGTTAAATATGTATTTCTACATAAATACCCTTATATATGTACAGTATATGTATTCTATCCGTTACCCTAGCAACCCATAACACAAGTCTTTGGTGCTTATTTTGGGGCTAGGCTAATTGGTGTGAGTGTTGGAAATATTTATTTATTGAAAAGTTTCTGCGTAAACGGCATTTGACCCCAGTACAATTCAACATTCATAATGATGAGAATTTAACTTTCGTTAACGGTACTATTCGTATTGTGCATCGTATTTTAAGTTCCGCACTGCTTGTTTCGCTCTCGTTTCATAATTGAAACCGAATGATTTAGGAATCACTGCTCTTTATAAAAATCTATTATATTGGTTAATTCAGGTTGAATTTCAGTTTTATTAATATTTATAGGATTCATCGTCATCATCATCAGCTTATTAATGAACCCCATTGTTGGGGTACAGGCCTTCCCTATGGATGGAATAATAAAATTGGGCTATGACCCACCACGCGGGCCAGTGCGGATTAGCCAGTGCAGGCGAGACCGACGGCTTAACGTGCCTTCCAAAGCACGGAGGAGCTCGAGATAGTAAATTTTTGGTCACCCATCAAATGACCGACCACTGCAAAAGTTGATTAACTTCAACAATCGCCGCCGAACGCGCTTATAACTTGCGCCAGGAGCTCCCCTCTTTATAGGATTCATGTCTATGATATTAAAAGTATCACTTGTGTGCTACGCAAGGCACTGAAAACCTTATTCACCATAGAGCATAATAATATTAATACTTTGAATTAAATGGTTTTTTTCTTCAACACTACTTTTGATTACGTCATCAACCTATTAATATCCTCGTTGCTTTCGAACAGAATGTTACTTAAGACGGAATAGGGAGAAAGGGTCATGACCCAATATGCACCCCTTGCAGTGCCTTCCGAATAACAAAAGGGCTTAGGCGTCATCCAAATTGGCCAAGATCGTACGATGACATGGTGCGATTTTGTGGAACGATGGAAATAATCGTACGATGGTTGAGCAAGGGTATCCTAATAAATCGTGCCGCCATCAACTCACCAGCGCCATAATGCACAGTTTTTGCTGTCGGGCAATGTTGTTTTGAAAATTGCACATCACTTTGAATAAAGGGGAAACGTAGTATAAACTTTATAGTTCCAGTTAGTTTATAGTACGCGCAACTAAATAGGACACTCAAGAGATCGGTATATTTTAGCACATGATCGTACGATTGAACTCATCGTACGATCGTTATTAAACAATGCCTGTGCTCGTGCGACGGCTTACCAGCATTAATTCATCATCATCAGCATATTAATGCAACCACTGCTGGGGCGCAAGCCTTTCCTATGGATGGAATAGGGAGATTGAGGATACTTCTAAAGAAATCTGTATGTACAAAAATCATCGTACGATGAGAACGCATCGTGTGATCGTACGATCGTTGCCAATTAGGACGACACCTAAGATAGTTGCTTAATTCTACCTTACTGCTTTTAATATTATCAAAAATACTTTCCATTTCTACAATAGGTAAACAGCAGTTACTGACATAATTCTTACAACTGTCGATCACATTGCCATTGTTTTCTTTACCTTTTGATTCATCGACTGCTTTGTTGGAACAATTAAACTCATTTAGTGGTTTACCGTTAAAACAATGGGTCCATTTACATTCATAATTAAGGATATCCTACCTTACTGAATTGTTCAATCCATTATGCAAATTATTGTTGTTGCGAAAATGTTACACCTACAATTAGACGTCTTGGGAAACCGCAGGATATTGATCTTGATAATTTTATTAATTTCATGCAGTGTCTTTTGCCCATTGCAATATTGACTGAGAGTCAGACATAGATATAAATGAGTACCTATTAATACAACGTCTTCTGTCGCAGTCAGGTCCGGTAACAATAATACTGTCATGAGCACTCCTGAATTACGTAAGGTACGCATTACTTAGTGACGTAGAGTGCGCTTAGCTTTACTTTGTTTCAAGATATTAGCCAAAAACATAAGAGAGAGCTCTCCTGCAAATTACTGATAGTATAAAAATAGAATAAGGATAGTAGATCCAATAAAAACAATAGTTATTAAGATAAATTAGATACCTCCCATAATTTGTCAAATCGTAAAAAATGAAAAAGGTATTCTACCAAACCACTGGACGGATCGGGCTGAAATTTGGCATGCAGGTAGATGTTATGACGTAGGCATCCGCTAAGAAAGGATTTTGATCAATTCTACCCCCAAAGGGATAAAATAGGCAATGAAAATTTGTATGATACTTTGTCAATTTTAAACCGATCGGGCTGAGACTTTGCATGCAGGTAAAAGAAGAATCATAGATGAATGTCATTGTGTTATAATACAAGCCTGAGAACAAAAACTGTAGTCTACACTTTAACTCTACACCGAAGCGAAGCGAGGGCGGGCCGCTAGTTTATAAATAAAGAACCAGCTTCAGTTAGTGTCTCCACGTTTTGTCTCTGTTAATTTCTCTTAAATTACAAATGTCATTTGAGTGATGTACATAAACAAAATACGGCGTAAAGGAAAAAGAGTTATTCTTGAAAACTGGCTGTATAGAATATTAAAATCATTTCGTTTGCTCAGAATATTTTCCTCGGAAAAGAGAAGTGCGATTATTACTTTCAGTGTACAGGTTATGTTATTCTAGAAAACTGACTGTATAGAATATAGAATGTTAAAATCATTTCGATTGCTTAGAATATTTTCCTCGATTTTTTTCCGCGAATAATAGTTGTGCTATTAGTACTTTGAGTGTACAGGTTATGTTATTCTTGAAAACTGGCTGTATAGAATATAGAAATCCTTTCGATTGCTCAGAATATTTTCTTCGATTCAATTACATAATCAACCATGTGTTGCTAACGGCACACCTTGGCTCGCCAAAGTATCAAGAAATTCTTTACTCTTGTAATAACAGGTAACATTTCGTTAGTTCTTTTTTTTGAAAATTCATTTTTTTCTGTAAATAGCTTTCGTTGCGAATGTTACAAAAATCTACGCATATTTTTTTTTTAATCGTACCAAGAAGTTTGAATATGTATTTAAAACTTTATTCGTAAGTAGGCTATGGACTTCAAACCTTATTCAATTCTCCCAATTTTCTGGAAGAAGATAAAATATAATAAGTATAAATTGACATGCAAAGGAGATTGCTCAAATTGGTCCAAACGCACAAAAAATATTGACATACACGGTAATTCTTGGCGTAATTTATAATTTAATTTAAAATCATTAGATTTCAACGGACACCTTTGTATAATATATTAACTTTAAAAAAGACTTTTAATTTTACCGGTTTGGAAAACATACGGATCATTTTTAAATGGCTATGGGTGTAGTAACATTCAGCCAAAGACTGATCGAAGTTGTTTATATAACATAAAAACAATTCTATTTTGTAAAGATCGATAAAATAAATCTTTTTTTTTTTACACTATGGTATTAATATCCACAAATGTGCTCAGACAATTATTATAGATGGTAGGCGACATCATAAAGTCTATTGCCATACATTTTTCGCCAAACACCTCCATAAACACATTATAATCTGTATATACTCGTATGTTAGATTTTAAGGTATCTATCTATGGGCCTTCGTTGCCTGACTATAAATTAATAAATAAATAAAATTATAAGGTGTGATACACTAAATATCTAAAATATGTTTATATTAAAAACATAATAAAAATAATGAAGCTACTGAATATATGGCTATATAACCTAAATCTCTTAGCTTTCTTTGGTTAACGAGAGTTTAAAAATTCTCTCTAATCTGTGGCTCATTCACAATCATCACACAGTTTCTGTCACAGAGTACCTTATTATAACCGGAAATGTATGGATGACACCTGATTTTATAAGTTACTCTTATGCATTAACTCTAAAAACAGGCAACTATCTGTTAATCTACATGCTCTATATACCTGAATCTAATCCATAATTTCGGTACTTGGCTTGATTTCTCTAGTTTACTATATAACTTATTTGTTTTTTATTATTTTAATATGTTCAGTGTATATGGTTTATAGAAGTTCTCAGGGGTGTCCGTCAATAATATTCGTTTCTACAGTAATTTATATATAATTTCGAATCTAGGAAACAATTTTTCATGATTATTGGTCTTTAGGCCAAACATGTATGGAAGCTGAGCAATCTCCTTTATCTGTTTCAGATAATTAAGAGCGCCATTAATTCTGTGATCAGTTGTGCTATTTGTGCTAAACTCGTATTTCACCTCGGATTCACGGTGTGGATTAAGGCAACTTGGCTCTGGCCCGAAGCCCACATTACATAGTCTAGCAACACGAATACCTGGGCCAGAATACCATTGGAAAAAAATCGTAGTTATATCGACCCATTAGGATTTCAGTAAATTAAATTCAAAAATGAGGAGCGATATTAAAGAAATATATACATATATATACTTTTTTATTTATACGCAGGCTCGTACTAGATTTTGATTGCTTGATTGCTTTAGTGATTTAAGGATTATTATTATAATTATTGTAAAAAGAATCATTGCACTGCAGAAACACATTCAAGTAAATACTAAAATCGGTTTTTATGAAGATCTAGATTCTCAAATATTTTTTTATGATAAGCTGTGCACGTCTCGGTAACAGGATGTGCTGATTTCATCCAAAAGCGTATCATCTGGCCTACGCCAGGCAGTCAGACTCCTAAAATATTACGAAACATGTTACAAAATTGTATTCGCTGAATTAATGCCGGCACAGCCTACATTTGCGCAGTCACTTTCACTGGGCACCTTAAAAGTCTTCCGTGCTGTGCTGTGAATTGCGTCCGCGTTTATTTCTCGAACCTTCCACGGTCACCCATCAATTTCAAAACCAAAACGGTGCGTGGTGCGTTTCCGTTGGACATTTTGAAAAAGGAGGGGTTGTGTTTTTTAGGGTTCCGTGAACCGTATAGTTTCGTCGTGTCCGTCTGTCCGTCGCCAGTTTTGCTTGGAGGCTATTAGCACTGGAAAACTGTAATTTTGTGGGGATTGTTATTACGATCACGCCGACAAAATGGAAAATATATTTTTAAGGTTAGTTCTCCTACATGTAACCTGGGGATTTTTTGTTTTTCTTGTGGGATATCGTCCTCGATTCTTTAAAATTACTTGGGAGTTCCTAAGACTAGTTTTCGATTTGCAAAATATTGAACTTTAAAGTACTAATTTTGTTCGAGTAGGGCGTCCGTCCCCCCCTCTCTAAAACCTGAACTATTCGCTTGAAAACCCTGGAAAAATCATAGTAATAGTGATGTTCATGATGTTTTAAAGAAAACTTTAACGGTTAAGATAGATTTGTTAGTTTAAGAGTAATAGTCATTCAACATTGGTTAAAGAAAATTTCTTACCTATTGTAAATTCCATAGAAAGAAACATTAATAATGTCACTATAGATGAAGCTTTACCGCAAAACCTTGCATTGCAACAAAATCTAAAAAAAAGTATTTAAAAACCACAATAAAATATCATTAGTTGCACAACTCTACCGCGAATACCAACGGCAACGGCTTCCGAGTCGCGCTTCAGAAGAAGCTTGTAAGGCCCTTCTGGCCATAAGCATGAACTAAGTCAATAAGAGTCTGTCATATCCTTGCAACCGTATGTAGGTTTCACACCCGCTGGGAGAGGAAAAATAGGTATTTAAAAACATATTAATACTTGTTAAATTGATTTTGAGTTTGAGACGCAGTTTGACTTTGATTAAGATAAATAAAACTAGTTTTTACGGGTTAATGCACGAAACTTTATTTATTTATTGACGTTTCGTAGCCTTTACAGGCTACGTCGTCAGAATAAAACTTACTAGCCTGTAAAGGCTACGAAACGTCAATAAATAAATAAAGTTTCGTGCATTAACCCGTAAAAACTAGTTTTATTTAATGAGTGATGTGCGTGAAAACCTAAGAAACAAATTTGATTAAGATATTTTAGTTGAAATACATAGATTGATATTAATTGGTTTTTGTAATTGTCGATATAGAAAATAAAGACCCCTACTCAAATATATTGTGGTAACTACAGGCAACTACGGAACCCCACATCTAAGTTATTAGATCTGTTTGTTGCTCATTTGTTTAATTTTCTTACGTCTGTTTCAAACGAAATTAATATTGCACGATTTTAAAAACTACAATATTTTTATCAAAATCTAGGCTTCATGGAGAAAATATGAAATTTTATTCGAAATAATATTTTTTCCAAATAAAAATATTAATTGCCGTCACAAAATAGTTTTTTTTTTATTCCCACTTTCCCGCCAAAATTTCGATATTTTGACAAATTTGAACTTTTCTTCGCGTAGTGACGTGACATTTATAAGAAAGAACTACCTACCTACCTACCGGTGCAGGTGTCGAGTTTCACTTTCAATATGTACTCAAGCGTGAAGTGACGAGTTAACGAGTCAGCGCCATTTGATTTTGCCGTGTTATTTCCGTGTTTGACAAGCCATTTTTTTTTTAATAATTCAGAAGCTTGAATTTACTAATTACTTAGTGGACAACTGCCAAAAACTGCCAACGACTACCTGCCCGTGTGCAAAATTATGAGAAACAAGAATAAATAAATAAATATTTCCAACACTCACAGCAATTAGCCTAGCCCCAAAGTAAGCACTGGAAAGCGCTTGTGTTATGGGATACTAGGGTAACGGGTAAAATACATAGACAGTACATATAGAAGTATCATCATCATCATCAGCCTATTAATGTCCCCACTGCTGGGGCACAGGACTTTCGTATGGATGAAATAGGGAGATTGGGCCATGACCCACCACGCGGGCCCAGTACGGATTGGTGGGTGCTAACGACTGCAGATGAAGCCGGGACCAACGGCTTAACGTGCCTTCCGAAGCACGGAGGAGCTCGAGATAGTAAACTTTTG